GATTTTTGAACGTTTTTTTGGGCAGTTCAGGCTTCGGGCATGGCCGGAAAAATTCAAAAAAAAAACTCCGCCGTACAGCGGTCGACAGCACCTACACGGCGGCGGGCTCCAGCGTGGTCTTAAAATTCGGGCTGCCCGAGCCCAAGCCTGAATTTCCACCTTGGACAGGCCGACATATGGGCCTTCCCGTCCGAACCCGAAAAAATTCAGGCTTCGGGCTGCCTGCCGGCCTGAAATTCCACCACTAGACTAGGACTAGGAAAACAAAAAAACAAAACAAAAAAGAAAACAAAAAAGAAAGGGCCAATGCAGAGTGTGAAAATATTGATGTTCACATTACGTCAAGTTGGGTACTATTTCGTGTTTGGTTGGGCACATAAGGAGGACTTGGAGGACCCAAGCCATGCGTGGGCTTAGTTAAGGGACGGAGACAGGAGGAGAGTCGGCAGACAAGGTGGGCCCAAAGTCACATTGTTATGGCCCAACAAGGGCCCATAGCATAGGGAAACGAGCCTCTTGAAGTCTGACCAGGTCAGTGAGTCGGAGAGATAGGCTTGAGGCGAGCGAGTCATCTGTCGCCTGACTCGCTCCAAAATCCGGAGCTCGATGCCACTGACTCGCAGTCCCCTATCGGCCTTAACTCTCCGAAAACGACTGATTGGACGGGATTCCTTTGTCGTTTCCTCCATATCCCCTTGCATCCGCCTCGTTGCCTGTACTTATCTTATTATTATGCCCTTGTCTCCTAACATATTTACAAATTTATCCCTACTATGTCTTTTCCAACTCAATAAAAAATGAAAAAAAAAAAAATAGTAAGACATTTTCTCACTATTCTTTTTTAAATTGCACTATTGTACTCTAAATTATTTGTTTTTTACACAATGTACTTTGAATTTTTAATTTTGACAAATTCTATTTTAAATTTTACAATAGTTACAATTAATGATTAATAATTAACGAATGTTATCAAACTAATTAACGATTTAACACATGGGAATTGCACATGAAAGGTGAAGATTGTCATTTTTTAAACAACGTCACGTCTAAATTTTGTGTTTTAAACTTTCAATTTAATAACGCGATTGTCTATTAGACTTCAATTACAATTAATTTTAAAGTTTAAGGTACAATTTATTAAAATTAAAAATTTAAGATGCATTATGTACAAACTGAATAATTTAAAGTGCAACAATGCAATTTATTATTATTATTTTTTAATAACTTACCAGAATACATCTACTTGAATCTTTTGGTGGATGGATAGTTGCTATTGGCCCAAAACGAGATTTTTCGTTGGAATATGTTAAATATAACATAATTTTACTAGTCAATAGTCATGCTAAATTATAATAAAAATTTAAAATATTTTAGAAAGTATAAAAAAAATTAAAATCGTAAATAATAATTACTACATCATTTATAATAATTACCATATAATTATGTTATTCCTAAAATATTAAAATATTTCTAAAAATAATCAACCATCCCGCCATCACATCCCACCACCCCAGATGCTATCGCCGCCCAGCTTCGTCTCCAGTAGCGATAGTCTTGCCTCCTCGTCAAAAAGCCACACAATTACCCCATTCATGTCCCTGTAGCGACGTCGTTACTTCCTCCCTCAAGAAGCCACGACCCTAGAGAGAGAGAGAGATCAAAGGGATGAGAGATCGACAGGGACGATGAGAGATCGACAGGGACGGTGAGAGAGATTGGCACGGACGAGAGAGAGAAATCTAGAGGGGAGAGAGAGCCTTTAAATGCGTTTGAAACTTATTTTAAAATAATTTTATTTTTTGTATAAAAATAAAAATAAAAGCGTTTTCAATCTCATGCATAAATCATTTTTAAAAATGTGTTTAATAATTTTATTAAGAGATTATTTTTTAATATAAAAAAATTCATTAATGTCTATCTATCTCTCTCTACTCGAGAGAGAAGAAAACACAAATAAAAAATAAAAAAACGACTAAAAGTTGTTTTTCATTTTTCTCTTATTTTACACTAAACTAAAAAATCGTTTTAATTTCTGTTTTTTTGTCTATATTATGCCAAATGCCGTTTTGAAAAACGTTTTTATTTTTTTTCTTGAAAAACGTAAAAAATAAAAACGAGATCAATTCTAAACACAGTCTTTTATTTTTATTTTTTGCTTTCTTTTTTCTTTTGTAATTTTATTTACAAAAATTATTTTTTAATTTTCAAAAGCCTTTGTTTTATTTATTTATTTTTTTTTACAGTTTTATATAGTCTATTATGTCATGATATTTAGAAAAAAAATATAATTTGTTAAAATGATACTGACCTAATTTAATAAGATTTAACTAGTTTCAAAATGTTTAATGTTATTAACTTTATAAGAAGAGTTATATTACTGTGAATAAAATAATATTTTTAAAAATTTATTAAAAGATTCTCATACTTGGCCAAAAGAGATAACTTATGTTTCCTATGATTTATGAAGATATTACCCTCTATTATTTTTCAGGTAATATGATTCATATTAATTACCGTATACTTAAAGTCTTAATATAAGGTATAAAAACATCTAACTACTTAAGTAACATTACGTATGTCACGTTATGTCTACTATTTTATAGGGGTGTTTATAAAATTAGGAATTATATTCGATAGACCGTCTTACCGGTAGGATTAATTTTCGGACCGTTAGATTTAATTAAAATCAAATTATATTAAAAAAGTATACAAAACACGCAGTTTTTATACAAATATAACGGCTGAAAATGGTTAAAAAAAATAAAACTATCAGTAGCTCAATTTTTCTGATCATACGAAAGAAACTCTCATAAAATTAAACTTCCCAATCACAAATTGATTACTATATATGTTTTTAGTAAAATAACACAAAAACAATAGTCGTGACTCTAGTATTATTCGTTCACGTCTACAGTATTTCACAGTGCTTACGTTGAAAGAAAATAAAGGGCATGTATAGTGAGTTTTTAATTTGAGTTGAGATATGATTTTATATGAAAGCTCTTTATTATATTAAAAAAATTAGATGTGATTATTTATGAGAATTTTTTACTGTAATAAAACTCGAATTCTAAACTTAAATCGGTTACATAAACGGGCTAAAATTACGCATTTCATCAAAGAAAACTATTAACACCTCGTACGTTGACTTCTTTATTCTTTGTGCTACAGTCAAAATCCACTAAACTTGCATGACACTACTGAAGAATAACTTGCAACGATGCAATTATGAAACAAAAAAAAAACTTGCAACGACGCACATATGAATAGGATTTGCTAACTCATCTGCGTATTTTGAGAAGCTCAGAACAAAATTTTATTGAACCCGTAGACTCCATGATCACTAGTACTACATGCATATATACGCCCATGCCTTTTTTCAACCATTTCCATTTGATCTAAATAACTCTAGGCTTACGGGTCGGATTACGTAAATAAGGAGCCAATCTATAATCCAATATGATATTATGGATTGAAAAAATCTCTGAGATTTCCGATCTAATCCAATCTCAAAACTACGAATTTTGCGGATTGAATTATGCGGATTTATGGATTTGCCGACAATTTGAACCTTGACTTTTATAACTCCTAATTTTTCAATATTCTCAAAGAACTTATAACAAAATTAAGCAAACATAACATAACATAATGAAAAATTAAAATAGTTCTAAAAAACCTAATTCATTACAACACAAAATCTAACATAAATTCAAGTATTTAACAATATAATTCTAAATTGACAGATTAAGCGAATTGAGAAATGCTAAATCCGTGATCCAAATCGTAACTTCATATTAGAAAATCTAAATCTAGGGGTGCACAAAAAACAAAGAAAAAAAAACGCAAACTGCTCTAATCGCCCAAACCACCCCGTGCTGCCTGCTATGGACGGGTCCATGTCACAATCCGCCTATTTTTGGGCAGCACGATTCTAATCCGCACTCATGGACGGACAATTACGGTTTGCATAATTTTGAACAGTTTCAAACCGCCCCGCCCACCTATCATATATGCATGTATATTTTTTTGTAGGAATTTGTATGGTGATTGTTGACCGTTTGCTTAGTTTAACATTTTATGATTTAGATTTCAAATTTAATTTATTTGAATATTAGTATTTAGAAACTTGTGCAATTGTGCTATGTATGCTATGATTAATTTCATTTTATTAGCTTTCATACATTTGTACCTACTTATATAAGTAGCTAAGACTATAAAAGTTTAATTTCTAATTTAATAGTTCAAAAATAATAATTGCTAAATTCATACCGCCCAACAAACCGCTTAATTAAAAAAAAACACTACCCAATCTGCCTAAGATGTAGGCAGTTATGGATTAGACTTTTTAAAAACCTCCAAGAAAAAAACCGTTCAACCGCTCAATAAATGCCCACACAGATCGCAGTGCACCCCTATCTCAATCCATTACTAATTCAAAATTCTTTTACTCTAATCCAATCCGTCAAATTAGATTGGATTACATGGATTGGATAGATTAGCGGATTTAACGAATACCCCTAACACGAACAATTAATTAGGGAGAATTTCATGGTACTAATGAGATATTTTTCAATACTAGTGGGTATCAAAATGATTTTTTTTACACTATAAAAATGACATTTTCCTTTTTTTAGCAATCAACACTTGAATTTAGAAATATGTGGCCAAGACACTTCAACTAATAATATCGTTATTTTTTTAGTAATTTTGTTTCAAAAATAAATTTGTGTTGGCAATAAATAAATATGGCCATACATACCCTTGATTAACAATCCATGTGCAAATCACGTATCAATTTCAATATTTTTTTAAAAAAAATCAACACGAATATCAACTAAAGTGTGTTTGCCATATATTTCTATACTGATGGGGTTAATTGAAAAAACAAAAAGTTCATAGACACACTGACAATGATAAAAAGTTGTGGGGTCTACAATGAAAGAAAAAAGAGCCTATAAATTTAAAGAGAGAAATGCTAGCTAGGCAAAGGAAGGGCATGATAGTAACTAGAGAATCACCTTGTCCACTCTCCGTCCTCTTTACGAGTTTATTATAATAATCTTCCATTCACTGAAAGTCATCTTCTCCAGAGAGAAAACAAAACAAATCTCTCTCTCTCTAAACTTTCGTACACTTGTTCTTCTTCTTCTGAAACCATTTTTCTGATCGTTCCTTCTTCTTCTGAGCGAGTGATGGGTGTGACCAGCCGGTGTTCCCACACTTCTCACATCACCGAAATCATCATCACCAGCTTCTTCCGCCACAAGCTTTAGAATCCTCTTTTTCGCAGTGAAATCCAGACGAAGAAAGTTCGAAATTAGGGTAAATATTCATTGGGGGGAGTTTTGAGCGATTATGGCGGGTGGGAGGATCTTCGGAGGAGGCGCTGCTGGTGGATCTTCTTCTTCTTCGAGCCTCGGTCTTTTGCTTCAGAACAACAAAAGGACTGAGCCTCTCGATTCTCTCTTCCTTTCTGGCTCTTGCAATTCCTCTTCTTCTTCTCCTTCTTTCTTCGGTAATTCTGGTTTTTTTTTTCCTTATTATAATTGAATTGACTGATCTAAAGTTATCTTTTTGTATCACGATATGTTTAATTCGATGCAATATTTTGGTATTATTGCTCAATTACACTAGAAAACTTAGCGAAGTTCGCGTTTTTTAGACCATTTCGAGAAATTGATTATGCTTGAGTTTGATTCAGCTTCAAGATCCATGATGAGCTTCGAAGATGTTCATGGAGGGAATGGATCGAACAAGACGTATTTTCGGTCATTTGGTGGTGGTGACGATATTGTGGACGATGACTTTGATGAGTATTTCCAACAGCCGGGCAAGAAGAGGCGGCTGAGCGTTGAGCAAGTCCAGTTTCTGGAGAAGAGCTTCGAGGTCGAGAACAAGCTCGAACCGGAGAGGAAAGTCCAGCTCGCCAAGGACCTCGGATTGCAGCCCCGCCAGGTTGCGATATGGTTTCAGAACCGCCGCGCGCGGTGGAAGACGAAGCAGCTGGAGAAGGATTATGACGTTCTGCAAGCCACCCATAACACCCTCAAGGATGATTACGAGAGCCTGCGCAAGGAGACTGATAAACTAAAAGCTGAGGTACAGATTTAACCTCAAAATTTAGTTGATACGTTACTGGGAGAACACAGTTGTTAACAGTAGATCGCATCAGAATATTAAAAAAAAAAAAAGTACAGTTAAAAACTATGTCATATCATTAGGATATTTTTCACCACATGCTAAGTGTGAGATCTTGATCCATTGGTTGCTTGAAAGATCTTAAATTTGGTTGTGATAATTTAGGTTGTAGGAAAGTTTATGGATCATTTTTGTATGGATTTGAGGTGGTTCAAATTCAGATTTTTCAAGTCTCTAGTTAATAATTATTGTTGTTGTGTTTGGTATTGTTGATCAGGTTCATGTCCTGTCAGAGAAGTTGCAAGAAAGAGAGAAAGAGAAGGAGAACTTGGAACTGTCTGAGAACTCCAACAAGTTGTCTCAAGAACCACCGGAAAAGCCAATTGCAGATTCAGAGGGTGAGGTCTCCAAAGTTTCAGCTGTGGAAGATATTAGCTCATCAGTTAAGAGTGACATATTTGATTCCGATAGCCCACGTTTCAACGAGGCGGTTCACTCCAACTCGCTGTTGGAGCCTGGGGATTCTTCATATGTGTTTGAAGCCGACCAATCCGACCTCTCCCAAGATGAAGAAGATAATTTGCCTTCTTACATCTTCCCGAAGCTGGAAGACGTCGATTACTCCGACAAGCCTACAAGTTCATGCAATTTTGGATTCCCTGTTGAAGACCATGCCTTTTGGTCCTGGTCTTACTAGGTTTCTTATGGTAAATATATCTGTTTATATTAAGGTTATCTTGTTTTTGTTCAAAGCATGTTAAATAGCTATATTTCTGGCAATAAATAAATCTCATGATCAATGGCACCCCGATCCTGATGCGGTGGTGGGTTTTGGTTTGAATCAACAAATTTTGTGCCATTGCCCCTTTCTGTAATCTTGTTCTTATTTTGTTCTTTGTTGGAGGTTCTAGTGTTTAAATGAAACTTCTGCTTTTGTTGGTTGTCAATGCAATTGAATAAGAATAATTGTGGCTATTCAATTCCTATTTGAGAATTGTGTAGAAAAAAGAAAGGTAAAACAAACAAGGATTCCTAAATTTGCCCACTGATGTTACCACACTAGCAAAAAAGTGAGTGACTTCAGTTTATGCTAAATGCCATGGTTATCTTAATGTTTCATTCTTGAATTTTATCCACAAGCATAGAGCACTAAGCCGATGCGTCTGGACTATCATTCGAGAACACTTTTGCTAAAGATTTGTATGCACAAAATCCTAGTTGACTTCCATGTTGTACAGTCTTAAAATCTAGGCTACATTCGATTTCTTGTGGAGATAATTAAAGCATTAACGTATTGAGCTTTCCTTCTTTGGTGTTATGGTGGACGTCAATTTCATGATGAGTCAGCCAAAGTCACCCTTTTCAAATCACTGTTCCAAACAAAAAAGAAGAAGATTTTCTATAGTTTCTTCTCTAAGCCTTCCCCAGTCCATAAACATTTTCGTTACAAAAATAGTTTCTGCGTTTACTTTACAAATTTAAATCTTTTTATTATAGTATTTTTTCTCATAAAATTTAAATTTACGTTCAAATTATTATGTTCAAGGTTATGAATGAAAAGGGCCCATACTATTCATTTTTATGGGGATAAATTTTCATCCGGCAAGATTCACCTACCCACTTCTTTATAGAAAAATGGAAAATTTATCCTTGAGGGTGAACGAGTCTGAATCTTTTCTTCTTATTATTAATAAATATTTTTTTATTAGTATAATTATTTAACTAAAAAAATTATGAATTAAGAATAAAAAATAAAAATTTTGACATAAATATTTTTAAAGAATATTTATTAAGATTACTTCACTTTATATGAGTAACCAGATTTTAAAAATGAATAAGAGTGCTCTTTTCTTTATTCTGTTCTTCCCCTGTTTTGGAAGTAAAAAATGGGGCTAAAAAGGAAGTTAAATCATTGCTAATTTTGGGAGGACTCAAATAAATATGAACCATTCCTAAGCCTTTGATATTCATGGATTGTTGAGGAGCATTCAATTTTTGCCAAAAGCTTGTCAACCAAATTAAAATTGTGTGAGAAGCACATCAAGGGATATTAAGGGGATGTTTATTTTTTATACTGAATCATAATTTATAATTCTTTATAATATTTTTCTCTCATAAAAAATATACGCGAAATAAAAATAATTCTAAATTTTAAATTTCATCCCCTAAATAAAGAGTCCCACCCAAGAACACATAAAAGTAATCCTCTTGAAATGATGGCCCTTTGTGATGGTGATGTTCCTCTGCTTATCTGATTGAGGACTTCAATCTTAGCCAAAGGGCTAAGAAGGTTTGTGGGAGAAGTGAAACCCCAATTGCCAGTTATATAGCTAGCTTGTAAGTTTATGATTAGCTCATTACGTCATCATCCATATTTATTGATTCCTTCAAATAAAAAAAAAAAAAAAGATGCAAAAATTTCAACCCCACAATAAGTAACTTGGTGCAATGATCAGTGGGGAGTTATATTTTGTGCCAACTCAAATGTGTTCATAAAAAATATATAATCTGTGTTCTAGACTTCACGGAATATTACGGGGGACAAATCTCCGCATCCGCATTATGCGTTCCCAAAATTACCTTGTAGTTGAGGCTAACGTCATGTGTAAAGACTTTCACAAAAATCAAGAAGACAGTTTGATCTTGGGAAATTTCTTTGCTGAGATTTTCTCCACTTGGATCTCCTTACTGTTGTTGGGCCAATTTCTGATTATCAGTAATTAAATTTTTTTTTTTTTGTCATATCTGATAAATTCCCTCCTTTAGTGGAATACTAGAATAAAAGAAAAAAAAATTAAAAATTACTTTTCTATTTATATTTTCATCAAATTTTGTTAAACTATCCTATTTTTTTTTAATATGATATAATTTTGATGTGATTTGACAATTTAAAACTATAGATCACCAACTCCTTAAGTAGGATTTAAAAAAAAAAAACCCCTAGGAATGTATAGTTTCGGATCATCAAATGTTCATAAAATTATTTTGGATTTGCACCTGTACACACAACATATATGTTGGTATCACTCTGAAGTGATACTGCACTATTGATAGAGTTTTTTTCCTTTTAATTTAATTGTGATAGAATCTTTTTTTTTCCCCTATTTAAGCCAAATTTTGGAGCCATCTCACTGTCAAATATTTGTGTACTTGGTCAAAAGGGCTTGCCAACTTGCTTTTCATCGTATTTGATCAAAATGGTATGATATGTGGCTTCTTATGAAATTAAATAGAAAAAACATTCTTTAATCTATAGTAATATCTTTTTTCACGCGTGCCATAACCTCATTGTCATACTATAAAATGGGCATAATTTGACTCTAATTACCAATTAGAGTTTGTTTCCTCTTTCACATACGAGAGTGATAATGCATTACATGGAAACAATCAAACCACTAATTAAGTATTGTTTAACAGTTGACTACTTCTTCAACTTCCGAATTTCATGCAAACTCAACATCCAAGCGATTTGGTACTTCTATTATCTTTCCAAACTCCACATGTTAATGGCTAGCTTGATTACCAATCTTGCAAATTTCCTTCTATGCAATTATACCAAAAACAAAAATAAACTAATTACATGTAGGGCTCGTTTAGTTCGTTTATTTAAATTTTTAATTCGAGTTAAGATGTGACTTTATGTAAAAGATTTTTACTGTAGTAAAAAAGTTTAGATGTGACTGTTTCTGAGAGCTTTTTACTGTAGTAAAAGTCGAATCGGAGAAATGAACAGGGTCGTAATGTTCAACTTTGATACTATATCATAACTTCTTATAAAACAAGTAATATAAAATAAAACATTACAAAATTATTGTTATATAATGTGACATACTACTCCACATCACTCTAATATATTGCTTTTAACTTGAGTTTAAAACCAAACTAATCACTCTAATATGTTCTTGCCACTTAGCTGGTAATTAAATCCCTCATTCTTCTCTACCATACTATTCGGAAAACTTAAAAAGTTTCATATAATGTTACATTTTATTGGTAAGTACTTATTAATATTAGCATGTCTCTTGAATTTAATCTAGATAAGTTTCTGGATTCTCTAATTTTAATGTTTATTCATGTAGAACTATTTAAAGTGTTTCTTACTAATAAATTCTCTTATTTTTCTTAATTCGTGAATGTAGATAATATATATATTGCGAAAGAAATGTGAGATCAGATTGAGACCAACTATAAGCTAAGTTTTTTTTTTTTTTTTTTTTTACCACAGCCATTAATAATTTGCCAACTAACCCCATTTTTCTTGGATCACAATTCATGAGTAATTTCTTTTGTTTTCTGGCGTGTCTCTCTCAGATTGTGTGCCGATCAATGTTTGAAACCCCAAGGCGTTGGTCTTCAACAGATCATCACCACGTGTACGGTGAAAATTAGAGTGAAGACTAAAAACGACATAGCTGGCGTCGCCAAAACAAAGCGTCACCATCAAGACAGCGTCTATTCCACCAACACCAAGCAAACCCTCGTGGATTCCCCATTTTGGCTGGGTCCCACCCTAGACCTTGAAACAGACTTTCTACATGCCACATCATCTGATTCCTCATCTTTTTCCCTTTTGGTTTTTTTTTTTTTTTTTTTTTTTTTTTTTTTTTTCTTTCTTTAAAGCACATCTGGCTCTAATTTTGTAATATGAGGGTGAACTCTTTTATTAGCAGTGGTTCTAAAGATAAATAATGCCTTTGAACGTTTTTCGAGCCTTAAATAAATTGATATAAAATTACATTTTAGGGTCGGAAAAATTTTCTATTCATAACTGCGAAGTATTGTATTTTTAGACAAAGTTTTTTATGTCTGGCAAGATAACTTTTTTCATATTCTCATATAATATTATTTTTACATGTTTGTAATATTTATGTCCGTTCTTTTAGAGTGTAATTTGAGTGTAGTTTTTTAGTGGAATTTGAGTTATAATTTAAGTTAAAGTTGTAACTTGAGTTTGTATTTGGTTGTGTACATTTGAGTTATGATTTGAGATAAGAATTTTTTTTGAGTTTGTGTTTGAGTGAGTCAAAATTTAAATTTGTATTTAGATAGTATTTCAATAAAAACTCAATGGTGATGAAAAATTTTAATAGGGTATATGGTGGGATTTTATTCGTCTTTTCGTTGTCAACGCACAAAAAAAAATCATCTCAATAAAGATTAAAACGAAAAAGTTATAACATTTTTAAGAATAGAAAAAATATTGTGCATTAATATGAGTTCGAGTTTCTGAACTCGAGTTGAAGGGAACACTTGACTCAAGTTTTAGTCCCAAACTCGAGTTCAAACTTAAAAAAACATGAACTTGAATAAAGTTAGAACTCGAGTTGCATTTTTTTGAGTTTTTTAGGCAGCCGAACACACCCTTAGTTTATTTAAGTATAATACTAAATGTTATATGTATTGGACTATTTTTTAAATGTTACACTTAAATAAACTGAAAATTACACGAACAAACAATAATGTTACATGAGAATAAAAAAATTATATTTACTGGACTCATATAATTTTACATGATCTACATAATTAAATTGTATCTTACTTATAAGGTATTTTTATTTTTTAATAACTATAACATTTTTGTACTTATGCCAGATTATTCTCTAACTTATAACTATGACAAATCTAAAAAAAACATTTTTGATTGTCAACGTTAAGGTACAAGGTTATTAGTTTGTAGATTTTTAAGGAAAATTATTAAAACCATAATTTTGATAAATATAAAAACAATTTTTTTAATTGCTTGGGATTATTACTACTAAACACCATTATTAATAAAATGTAAATCTTATTTATAAATCGCATATCACAATACTCATTTTTTATTATTAGACCGTGCTCGATACTAAGGTCTCGTTCATTTCACCGATTTGAATTTTTAGTTTTAGGTTTTTACAGTAAAAAGCTCTCAGAAAATATCACATCTAACTTTTTCTGCTACAGTAAAAAGCTCTCATAAAATGTTACATCTCAACTCG